GTATTTCGAACTTTTAATGAGCGTAATGTCAGTGTGAAGTACGTTTGTATTCATTCGTATATATTGTGTGCACTTTTTTAATGAGGATCGCACGTCTGAGTGCCGATAAGATATGCTTTTATATATAATCGACAAATCAATGGTTATGATGGTTGATTTTATATTGGTCTGAACGCCTTTTTACGAGGACCAAAAGGCACATACTCTTACAGGAATAACCACAGAACACTTTTATTTAAAGTAAGCGAATATCGAAAACACTGATTCTGTTTAGAAACCAAATTGCACGAAGAAGTACATATATGTATACGTATACGTACGACGATTTTGAAAATATTGCCATCATCAGAAGAGATTTCTGAAAAATGAATCATCATATATAGGAACATATTTCGTACTTTAGGTTGAACAAATGATTTTGAAAGTAATGAAATTATCTCACTTATCAAAAAACTAAAAATGATGGATATTTCTTAATTCAATTGAATTTTGTTAAAATGATCAACTTATGCAAGTATGCAATCTATACTGTCTGTAGATGGAGTAATATTAAAATCATTGGAAAAGAAGATAACAACCAGAAAACAAAAATCAAGGAATCTGCTTACATTCTTCTGAACGAAGACAATAGCATTGCTTCCTGTTCAGTTGCATAGATAGAACGTGGTACTGAAATCTGAAAATGAAAATGGTAAATTCAAGATTATTTAATGAAAACATCCTGTTACTCATTTGATTGCCAACGTCACCAATTGTCACTGAAAACTGAGAAGTATCGAGACGAATACGAATTTGCTATACAAATATCCATTTTTTCATTTTGAAAACGGGAGCAGATTTGTTCCCGAAACGTCCAAAGCTAATTGAACATTTGATATTTTTTCTATATATACCTTTATTTCTCTCCTCCAAACCCTTTTCAATACAAATTGTCACCGACAAGCTGGTGAATTTTTCTTTTGGGCTCTCTGATAGGAAAATTCTTTAAATGCAGTGACTGGGGCAAATCATCTGATTTGTCCTACACGTTTAATCGAATAATATTCATATTTTCATTTTAAAGAAACGAGGAGAGAAAATTCGAAAAAATCTGAAATAATCTTATGCAATATTTTAAAATTCAAAAAACAACACATTTCAGAAATCTCTCCAGATAATGGCAATATGTTGAATATCACAAATTACAAGGATTTATGGTAAACTTTTCATGCAAACTCAGAAACTGACCTCTTAGTAGCGCCATTAAGGCGCCCCATTACCATGATAATCAATTCCATGTAATAACAATTACATTTTTATGACTGGCAAATAGGTGGTAACGCATAATATTATCTCTATGTTAATTCGTCATACGACTTGGAACATAAATAACTGCATCTAGTTCACCTTTGCAGAAGTCAGTTCATATATATACTTCGCAATATGTTTGTGAAATCAATGACGTTTCTATTCCAATTTGATGATTCGTCATAATTGGCCAGTGGACTATTTTTTTATTTTTTAAATAGAATCATCACTCAAATACCTTTCAATTTCATATTTTTAAAGAATTTTTTGTTCGATTGTTAGCTTAGTTGCCATGTGTTGAAACTGTTGAAATACGATTGGGAACTTCAGAAATATTAGTTATTCGATCATTAATAATTTTTCAATTGAGTGTTGGTAATACTCCTAATTAGCAATGAAAATTCAATTGCCTCAAAATGTTTCCTCATGATTTGTGGCTAATTGCTTATAATGAATTTGTGTAAATAATAATTATATTAATTCACACTAGAGGACATTTGAATCGGTGAACGTGACAACCACGGCGCACGACTTGTGGGCGTGGTCTTGTCAGTTCTCAGCATTCAGCACAATGTTGCCAAGTCTCCAACATACACTAGTCTATTTTGATATTTTTCAAGTTTTTTTTGACAGGTTCACCTTCTCTCTTGAACTTCCGGTTCTACCGGAAACAAACTAGCCATTATTCAGGTATAGGGCAACTTTTTTATTCCATCGAAGCACCCTGTATATTTTTGCACATTCAGAAAGACTGGTCTTTCCTCTTCCTAACAATGTATAACAAGTTATGTTTTCTTAGAAAACTATCAGAGTTATAACTCTTTGAAGCATCTACTGCATATTAGGATGTTATCCTGAAATGCTGAATTACCGTATATTGAGTATAAATCTGATGCAGATTTATGATGAGTTCATTTGCTTTTTCAGTCAGAGTAAACATTTTTTCAACTCGAAGGAAGTACAAATGCTCGACAATCTTTATTTGACACATCTAATCTGGCATTTCATGTGTTGTGATCAGGATTTCCAAAGACGACTTTGGTTACATTGCAAAATCTCATTAAACCATTCCACATGCAGTAGTTGTTTCAAACAGTTATAACTCTGATAGTTTTTCTGAGAAAACATAACTTGTTATACATTGTTAGGAAAGACCAGTCTTTCTGAATGTGCGAAAATATACAGGGTGATTCAATGAAATAAAAAAGTTGCCCTATACCTGAATAATGGCTAGTTTGTTTCCGGTAGAACCGGATGTTCAAGAGAGAAGGTGAACCTGTCAAAAAAAACTTGAAAAATATCAAAATAGACTAGTCCAAACTGCACAACGATAACTTGAATGTTTTCAGAGATATAAGCATTTGAAATGGGTCAGAATATAACTGGTCACCCGGTATTTTGTTATGGAGAATAAGAAATATTTGGACATGCTGGTTGCTCGAAAAAGTCCAGAATGAACTATAACATCATGGGTTCCTACTATTATGTTTTATTCAACGACGTGACTCTAACATCTTTTGATAACTTCATTATAATTGGTGACTTGACAACCTTGACTCATTAGTGGAAATGGAAGATTATCTGACCAATAACGAAACAGCATAAAAACTGACGTCACTTTTTATTCACGTATCGCTCGAACAACGCATAGACTCATTATACAGGTATTCTGTGATAACAATTATACATTTCTGATTTTTTTTTCGTCCTAATACACATGTCCATAAGTCTACATCAGTGTATTTTCAGTATCATTGCGCTTATTATATTATGATACATGGTTGAATAGAGAATTTTAAGGCGAATATGAAAGGCTACAAAAATATACAGGATGCCATTTGAAAATAAAAAGTTCGGTCTACTTCCGATCAAACAGGTGGTTGAAGAAAATTGTCATTGGGTTCAAGCAGGGAAGCACCATCATCGATAATATAACCCTTGTGAATTTCAAATTTTCATCTGTTCAAATGAAAAAACTACAGGCTGTTACATGTCTTCTGTGTCACCCGGTATAGTATGTCAATCGACGGATATTTCCAGGAAAAAATAGTGTCACGAGTAGTATTCGTAGACTATTTCATGATTGAGCCAATAAACGAGCGCCTCGCGAGAGTTGCGCACACTGCATCAATCATTCTGGCTTCCAATATAATTGACGTTGTCAAATGTCAAAAAATCGCTGAAGAACGAGGTTATTTGGTTACGTGTGGGTCAATTCGACTTCTGCGTATTGGGAGAGCAAGTCCGATAATTTTTATTGAACAAAAAATACCGTGGAAATTAACGATTCTGAGAACAAGAACGGAATAGTCATATATAATACCACAAGTGATAATATTTTGCCGGCAATATTCGGTGATTGTTACGACAGCTTGTTGCCTAGTCATCGATGTCATGAGCGAAATTAGAGCAACAAGCTGGAGTATGTCAATCGACGAATATTTCCAGGAAAAATAGTATCACGAGTTGTATTCGTATGACTATTCATGATTGAATGAGACAATGTATATAAGAAATAGGATACATAATTTAAGTATATTCCAACTCGAACTGCGAAGAAGAACATAATGATAGTAATAAAATACAGAATTTACTTTTTTAGAAATTAACTACCTACTTATAGTTATTCACAAAGTGAAATGTACAATTTTGATGAACAATATTCTTTTATTATCTTGGAGATGGTTGCTCTTAAAAGAGTGTTTACAATTGCTATCCAATTCAAACAAAATAAATGGAATTTATGTGATATGGAATAATTAAAAAAAAGATATCGTCGCCGAGGGCTCGAACCATCGACCTTCGTATCCTCGCGCAACAACCTTAACAGTTGCGCTACATCAGCTAGTAATTTTAGCAGTTAGTCACAATAACTTGGGCAATTAAAGAAGATTACTTCAAAAAGGAATTTGAATTCTATTATTGTTGTGTCAGACCGTCAACAAATATGCAAACTTCTTAAATTACACATGAAACGTCCAGCCAGAATAAAATTGTCTCGCCTTTCGTACAAAATATCTCACTAACGCGAATTATAAGTAAATAAAATAAAGGAACTTAGGTTATTGTCTCAGATATGAATCCGAAGCAGTCTTGACCAGACAGGATGTCAAAATTTTATCGCTGATAAACGAGGTTTGTTGGTCACGTGTGGGTCAATTCGGCTTCTGTATTGGTAGAGCAAGTCCGATAAAATTTTATAAACAAAAAATATCGCTAGAATACAGAAGAAACCGTGAAAATGGTCGATTCTGATTGGTTCTCGAGATCAAGAGTGGAATAGTCTAGGAAAAAGTATACCTATTTATCCTGTTTGTCAACAGCACTCAACAGGTATACCTTTGCGAATTTCATTGGTGCGTATTTAAGAGAGACCATTTGTTTTTTTCCTTCGTTATTTATGCACGTCTGTCTTCGACAAAGATTATTTAACAACTTCAACATCGCAATTCATCTATGAAAGTCGTGCTCAGCAACAAAGGAGTAATTCGTGTGTAACTTCGGAGGAAAACGAGACATTGTGTATTGTGTGTCAAAAGTAGGACAGTATTAGCTGACTCTTATAGCCGGTATTGTTCCTATTTGCCGTTTACATTCCGTTCATAATTATTAAAAACGGTTATCGAATATTCATATTCGGAGTAGAATGATGTGGGAAAATGGGTTTTATGTCTTCAGTCCATGTCACGTTTTTTTGCTATCAAAAATTGGATGAATATTGTATAGGTACGGCTGAATTTTTATTAATGAAAAAAAGAAACTTCTGAACAATAGCTGAAAAGATGCAAAATAATAAGTTAATATTTACAATAAAACAATGCAACAATAATAATTGTAAAGGGATCAACATTCTCATCGAATACCATGACCAATTCGATCCACAGTTTCCATCATATTCGTGGTGAGCTTCTTTTTCTTCATTCTCAGATATTTTTTTTCTAGATCAGTTGCGGCACCAAAAAATTCGAAAATGCACAAATTTTCATCTGCACTAGCTGTAGCTAAAAATTTAATTCACTCATACATATTGAAAATTAGGTGGAGCCCAATATTAAAACGACTAGTGATAAAATATATGAATAGTTACGGCTGCATACAATTCGTCAGAATGTATTTCATCAAAATAATATTTTATCAGATCGATCAAAAAGGAGCAGTAATTCGTCGGAATGTAAAACATCATAGGATCGTGAAACATCATACCGTACTTCATAGGACTAATTCATCATAACCGTATGTCATCAGAATGGTATTTTATCAGAATCGTATAATGACGAAACGATAATTCATTGAAAATACAATATAATTATCAGAACCGTATTTTGTCGCGACAGTAATCTTTCAGAATTGTAGTTTGTCAGAACGGTATAATCAATCATTACTGTAAATCATGATATTGAATAATCAGAACTGTAATTTTTCGGAATTGTATTTCATCATAACTGTATTCTGTCGAGAAAATGAAAAATCATAATCGTATGGTAAAGGTTTTTATACAATGAGGTTTTGACAAAATACGATTCTGATGATTTACTTCTGCTATGAAATAGTTTTCTGTTGGATTACTATTTCTATATAATATGATTTTGACAGAATGCCCTCTCGACAGAATTAGATTATGATGAATTCCCGTCATGATATAATACGGTTCTGATAAATTACTGTTTTGATCTAATGCGGCTCTTATTCAATAACATTCTGATCTATTACACTTTGACTACTTACGTTTTGTTATTATACATTTCTGCAAATTACGGTTCTATATGTTTTACATTGCGATGAAAAACGTACCTACAGAATTCAGTCCCTGTCAATTACGTTTCGTACGAATCACCATGCAGTCTCATGAAATATATTTTTATTGATTATATTTTGATACTTAATATTCTGACGATTTAGTTGTCTTTAATAGTTACTACAAAATCTTACCCAATTTCGTTCCTGTATTATCCCATAAAAGGTATGGTACTCTTCCAAAGCTGTTTCTTACTTCGTCCACTATACAGTCCAAATTTTTCAAAACCGTTAGGTAGTTGCCATCTGAATAATAACTAACCTATAAAAATATGAAGATATAACGAATGTTCAGAAATTGAAATCAAAATTGAACGTCTTCGTTTTCGTAAGATTGTACATTGCACCTACTCACCAGAAGTTCTGCAGATAAAGGATTGAACGTTAGACAATCAACTAAACAGTTCGGATGCGGATGTTCCTTGAAACTGACGATTTCCCTTTTATCGACGTTCCATATGGTCGTGTAGACGTGTCCGCCCACTGCCAGCAGTGAGTCTTTCCACGGGTGCCAATCAACCGCCTGAAAAAAGTTGATAACTTTCAACTTTTACGTTTAGAATGCTAGATCGCTCGTGTGACACCTCTATCAAATGGAATTTTGATTTTCAGTTCAATCAACTAGAAATCGAATTCCAGTTATCGAAATACCCAGTCAGTATCCCAATAATTGAGTAAATTTCTGGTCATATTTGACGTAATTTATTGATAATTTCCACTCCAATTATTTCCTATGAGTGAATTTCATTTAGGGTAGAAAACTTTACTTTCTGTTACGTATACCCAGGTTACCGTAACTGACGAGTCTCAACAATTACTTTTGAATTCAATATCTACTGGAGCCATATCGATTGAAGTGAGGTTAACCATGAATACATAAAGTATCATTTTTTATTTGATAACAGAGAGGAAAATACTGACTGTATTTCGGAAGGATTACAAATCATACAAGGGCATATTTTTGTCGAAATAAACTTTTTTCCTTTGAGACGGAGTAACAAAATATCACTCTTTATAAAATAGCCTTACTCCTGCTGATATACATCAGAATAGTTACTATGCACACTATATTCACTTATGTGGTATTATATGGATTTATTTATACATGAATTGTAAAAAATAACTGACCTTTGTTGGGGCTGCATACTCCATTTCGGCGTTCGGTGCAAAATCCGGCCAAAACCACGTTTTGATTCGACTGTCTTCGCCTGTGGTGACGAGACCCTTTTCCGCGCACGACAGCTTGACGGTGATGACGTCACCGGTGTGGGCGTAAGGGCACGCTTTGATGCACCGCAGACTCGACGACCAATAGCAGATCATGCCTCTGGTGCAGCCTGTTATCAGGTTGCCTTGTTTCGTCCATTCCATCGAGGTTATCACGCAACGTTTCGACGCTGTGGTGAGGCAAGGGCATTTGGCCGTAGCTGTGGTCTGGAAAAAGGGCCCCTTTATTGAAAAAATCGCGGAAATCGTACGATATCCTTAGAGGAACAAATTGGACTAGTGTTTTTCAATAGTAATTTATTTTACAAGGGAAAAAAGGTGTAGATTTTAGCTCCAGGAGGAATGAAGCGACAGAATAATCTCGAATATTCAGAACATCGTCATATAGCTTATGAAAATTTGATCAAAAACTCATCAAAACAATCGAAACTAATCAATTCATCGCCTTGATATACTCACAAAAAATGAGTTGAGATGACAGAAAAATAATGGCTTACATACCAATAGGAGAAACAAAAATATCGGTACCTCAAAAAATCAAAACCAATCAATAATAATTATAATAATTAATTAATTAATAATAATAATAAAGGTCTTTATTAATCACGATTCGGCAAATATTAATGAATAATATGAAAGAAAGGGCGAGGTTCGATTCATTCTAGAATCCCGAAAGGGGTCTAGCTAGAATGTCTGTTCTTCCACCTAACCCAGCAAACAGATAGAAATCTACGAGAAACAATAGGGAAATTAAGGAGAAGAGAAAAAAATACTTTGTATGAAATCATTGGTAAAAGACTTCACATATTCAAAAGCAACTATTGACGACTTAGTAACCATTCGAGTAATCTGGATCTGAATGCACTAGCAGTTGAGTACTGAATTCTTGATGGTAGTTCATTATTAATTTTGGTAGTACTGTAACTGTATGAGCGTTGATAATTATGCATCTTGATTCACTGAAAATATTTTCCCATCACATAAAATGCATGGGTTGAGATACGAGATACGTATCAAGATTCCAAGTACTCATTTTCCAGGACAAACTAAGACTTTTTTCCCTATAAATATATGTCCGCAAACGCTTTGTTGTCGATCCATACAGAGTGTTCCTTAAAGACAAGCTAATATTTGCGAGGGGGTGATTCTTTTAAGAAGAAAACTTCATATAAACGTATGTCCTAAAAGTCTTAACTTTTGGGATACAGGGTGATGAAGTTTTGAAAAATATTCAGTTTCTTGATAATAACTGAGACAATATTGTATGCATCTTCATGAAATTTGGTGCACGTCTTTTATGCATCAAGGTGCATATTATGATGTACACAAATTTTCATTTCACTACCAGTGGCACGGTTACAGAAAATTTTCAATTTTCGTAGAATGCTATAAAAGGCTATTCAACTATGTACAAAAAAGATACTCTTGTTGATACTCGATATAATGCTTCGTTTCAGAGAAAAAACGGAAAAACGAGGCCAGACTTAAAATGTTGATGCCTGGGAACTCCATTACTGGATAACCACAATTTTTTTTTTTGTTATGTTCTGGTTCCCACGAAAAGGGATATCCTGTAATGTTCAGAGAACATCGTGAGACCCAAGAATAATAAGGTAGGAATTGGTGTTCTTTTTATATTTCTGGGTAACATTTTGAAAATTTCATACCGATTCAGTCACATTGCAGGCTGAATTTTGCGATCACGAAAAGATACAGAGTGGACAAAAAAAGAATCAATGCATATTTTCGACATTGATCTCAAAAGTTAGGACGTATACGAGATATGTTCATATGAAGTTTAATTCTTGAAATGGTTAGAATAATCGGCCCGTTGAGTATTAGCATATCATTAATTGACACCCCGTTCAAATTTTTTTTATCTTCGGTACCTTTTATAACAAATCAATTCAAGAAATAGTACTCATTTTGAATTTCAAAATCTACTAGTGGTGCACCAGGAAAAAGTCTGGGTGAAAAAGAACTTGACCCCCGAAAAAATATCTCTCTATCTATGTAATCCCTGAAATGTAACCTATGTTCCAAAATTTTATCTAATTACCCTGAAAACTAAAAAGGCTCTAAAGGAAAAATCTTGTAATTTCAAAGCTCTGTTGATCGGAAACGATGCGTTTATAAATTGACGTTTGTAGGAAAATAGTTATTTGTTTTACTAGGCAGAAGAGTACAAGATTTAATGCCGCGGCTGGCGTTTCATAGCCTTAGGCGTAGCCAAGGCTGGAAAACCATCTAAGGCATTACATCTTCTTTTCTGCAATGTGAAACATCTAATTTCTTCTCTAATTTCTTCTCGATTTCACGCAAAGTCCAAATAATCCATCATTTTTTGTTCACCCAAAGTCATTGTCAATTTTGATTACCAATTGGAATTCAAATTACTTGGAACGTTGCATAGCAACAAACTTTTTCTGCCTAGCAGTAAAAGTACACTTTTTCTGCCTAGCAGTAAAAGTACACTTTTTCTGCCTGTTAAGTGTCATTATAAATCTACTTCTAATGTCATTTGGAGAAAAAATTATTATTTTGATCTGAAAAGTAAGCTCCTGAAATATTGATACTGTATTTTGAAATTGAATAATTTCCAAAATTTTCGAGTCCTGATATAAAAAAATACATTGAGTGTGAGCTACAAATTATTCCTAATTCATCGATGAGGAAAAGAAGGAGAATGAAAGAGTAGCAGTATGAATGTGCAGAAGTGGGTGTTGCACAAGTGTGAATTTTTGAAGAACATTCCAAAAATTATTCAGGGTGTATGGTTTCTAAACGCATGAAAATATTATTATGAAAATTACTTTGAATGACTCGAAATCCCATATAGCTATTTCACTGAATCCGAAAGCCACAGCAAAATGCGTCCCTTCCCTGTTCCATTTTATGCAATTCTTGACGTCCCATTGGGAGTTGATGACCCTCCTGGATTCCTTTTTTTCCGGGTGCCAAACGTGGACTTCACCCTCGTAGGTGGCTGCTATATAGCCCTGTTTACCCCAATCAACCACCTGATGACCTACAAAACAAATTGAAACTGGACAGTGCCGTGCGTATTTTCTTAATCAAGGGGATCGATATTTTGCAAACATCTTTTTACGGGAATTTTCGGATACATTTTTAACATAATTTCCATAGTGAGAACGTTAAAATCAGGGAGGTAGAAATGGTAGAATAATGTTTCCTAACTTTTGTTATTTTCTCTCCAAAATATCACTGATGTGGCGAAAAACTTTTAATAATGATTTAATACAAAATTCGACTTGTGCGTTGAGTTTTGCTTAAAAAAAAAAGTTGAAAATTTGCCTTCTGGGTCGAGGTCACTTGAATTTCGCTTCATGTCAAAAGTTAATTTTTTTATATTAATCGCTGAAAATAGTAATAGTTCGATGATATTTTGATAGAAGACTTTGATATTCAATAATATTTGCTCCTGAATTCCATACACGATCAACTTTGCATCAAACATTACAGAAATTTGCAAAGGAAATTATTATTTCTCCAAGAAAACCATATTTTTGTGAATAATTAGTAATTGAAAGTTAATAATAGCACGATGAAGTTACTGGTATGAAACAGTTTTGTCGGTGTTACTTATTTCCTAATATAACCGACATTTCGTAGAAATTAAAAGTATATAAAAAATTTCAAGTTTTAATAGAACGTTCAAATTCGGAGACACATGTGTAAAATTGGAATTGAAACAACTTTCCTCATTCAACTTATTTTAAATTCAACCAAAAATAAGCCTATCTCCAGCGACCTCGACCTAGTCGGCAATTTTTCATCTTAACTAAAGAAAAACTCAACACCATTATTATCATTTTTTCTCATATATCATGATGCCGCTACTTTACGAAAGACACTGTATACTGTATGAGTATTAGGTAATGCTTGAAGAAGAGAAAATTGAAACTTATAACATTTCCCTTGTCCTTGTAGGTTTGGTGAACGAATCCTCTCTCATTTTCAACATAAAAATGCAAAAAAAACACATTTTTGCAAATTGTTTCAAGTGAAAACTATGTCCAAGACTGGAAATTTCCTGAGATAAAACCTCACACAAATAGAAAATTTGACAAAAAATTAATTCAAAATTTTCTACCTACCTGAGCACATTCGAAATTTTGCATTGTTGCTGTTCCTATACCAAAAGAATACTTACTCAAATAGGTATCTAAATCTGGCATATCTAAAACAATCGATGGTGCTCCCAATAGCGGCTTTGGTCTTGCTCTCACAGGCCATGGATTCGTTTCGAATTTGTTTTTCCCGGCCATTTTCATTTGTCTGTGCTTGACACACGAAAATTCCAGAACTTTTTTCTGGTGAGGCAGCAATGAACGCTTCAATCTACAAAGTTCAATTGGTGAATTCAGAAAAAGTACCAGTACACAAACCAGAAATTAAAAGAGAAACCTGGAATCGCTAGACTAAGATACTGTTTCGGATCTATAGAGTATCCATCATCAGTCGATTAAAAAATTATTCTAGAAAGAACAAAGCAACAATAATATGGTATCAATTGAAAAACATGGTAGTACTCACGTGGAGTTTAAAAATTAATTGGAATCACATGAAGTTACAAAATTATTTTATGAAAAATCGTAAAACAGAGAACAAACGTATATTGTCTGTTTTGAAATTTTTCATAAAATATTTTTTTTAATCGGTGGATGATGGATACTCTTTAGATCCGAAACGCATGTCCCCTTTCCATTTATGATTTGATGATATTAAAAGTTGTGGAGACGACTTGGAGTGTTTATATCAATTTAAATGGAAATTACTTACATGTCTCTATAGTTTTGTAAGTGGAAGGTATATTTGGCAGTATTGGCAAAATCTGGAAATTCGGAATCCTTGATGGGTTGTTGATTTGGTGTCGCGTTCAATCCATTGTTGTTGATTAGAAGATGGGACATATCAATGTCCGTGTTTTGTCTTCTCGGTATGAATCTGTCATACGGACATCTTCTATTGAAGTTCTCGAAATGAAAAAAAAAATATATTGTAGAAAAATATTGCAACTCTTCGATTTCATTCTGATTGATACAATGTTGAGGTTCAATTTATTATTTCCAAGTATTTTGGAGTCTATATAGGTAAATAGTCTTCAATTTTTTCTGCAGTTGAATTTGTTTCTCATCATTTATAACAGTGTATTTATTATTGTCACTTACTTGCGAATAAGACATTATATTATTAACACTGATCAACAACAGACATTTTCAACTGGTTTGACACTTAAACTTTTGTATACTTTTTGTATGCCTACATGCTCTTGCTGCTGAAATCATGGTTTTCATCCTAATGGCAAAAAATTTAGATTCCTAGCAAAAAGTTGTTCGTGGTCGGAACGCTATACAGGGTGTCCCTTCTCAATTCGAACAGGCATTTCTTTGAAAACAGTAGAGAAAATCGTCATTGCATGAAGCGACTCTTTAGAATCATCTATATAGGGTGTTTCTAAATTCGGCCGACAACGCTTGACAGGTGATAGCCCTCCTGATTTCATAATTATTGAGATAGGGACATATGGTGTTCAAGTATTCAGTACTCGAAATACGGGGTGTGGAAGTGGAGACATAAAAAGATTTTTTTTGCAATAACTCTAGAATCATCCTTTCGTGCGCTCCAAGCGATAAAAAACAAAAAAAAAGATGCTCCAAGTCATTTCCACACAATAGAAGATTGCATAGTAATTTTTCATCATTCAAAATCATTTTCCTAGTGGTAAGTAGATAAAATACTTTTTGGATATCATTCTGTAGATGAACAGAAAAAATAGTTATTTCATGCAGAAAGAAAAAAACATTTTTGTAAATTTCTACTACTGAAAATGAAGAAAAATTACTATGGTGATGCATTTCTCGAGCAGAATTTAACAATGAATTCTAGAAATTGAAAATATTCGAAATATCATCAGTAGCGTAAAAAATATCGGAGGGAAAGAAAATAAAAAAACGCCCTGTAGCGCACCACTGAATGAATTGAATGTTCGGAAATAATTTCTGGTAAAAAATTACCCATTCGAAGATGAAACCATACAAGGTGTAATTTAATTGGTGGCTAAAAATGAAAGATGTGGTTTCTTAGTTCAGTTTAAAAAGAGAAGTTCACATGAACATATGCCCTAAATCTCTCAACTTTCGAGCTATAGGGTGTTAGAATTTTAAGAGAAAAAAGTTTTCTTATCATGACTTCAATACTGTTCTAAATATTCTCATGAAATTTTACATGCACCCACTGTTCTTTTTAGCTATGTAAGATGAGGATTTCATAATTGATTTTTATTTTTGGAAAAAGCAAGAGCGTACCAGATTTCTTCAGAAAAATCTCTAGTTTACATCCTATGCCGCTGTGCATGTCATATTTCATGCAAATATCTATGACAGTATTGAAGTTATGGAAAGAGAACGAATTTTTCCTTAAAATTCTAATACCCTATAGCTTGTAATTTAAGAGGTTTAGAGCATATGTCGAGGCATATGTTCATATGAACTTCTCTTCTCAAAATGAGCTGATTAACAATATCCTATATTTTCTGCCATCAATTATATTATGCCCTGTATATCCCGAATTGGAATGCAAAATATGCAATCATTCTTAACTTCTTCAGTACCTATGAAATCACAAGGGCCCTGTATGTATAGCTCTGAGTAATCAAATCTTGCCTTTACAGTGCCAAATAAGTACTCATCACCACGTGTGACATTTCTGATTATACAATATGCATTTTAATTTCAGTAGATACCATCCGTTATAACACGATAATAATTGAACTTTGAACATGAAGGACTCTATACGAAGAATTTTTTCATCGACTTTACTCAGTGAAATATTCTCAACTATGCAAATTATTGAGTGGCCAGTTGTACACGTCAAAATGCTTCTTGCTGGTCATAATTCAAACTCTTGCTGGTTACGTTCAAGCCGGTTCTTATTCCTCATGAGAAGTACCAGTGGCGTGCAAATAATTTTTACACGGATTTATTCATAATAACTATCTATGGTTTATTATAAGAATTTTTTCCACCATCTTTTTTACTATCTAAGAAAATATATAGGAAGCAGCAAAAAGTATCTGAATTTTAAATAGTACTCTATATATTTTCTCACCATTGGAACAACCTTTCAAAGAAACTCTGTAAAAATAATATGATTATCTTCCTTTTTCTCTCAGAATATGGATATCGTTTTTCGAACGATTTTCGAGAAGAGGTTATGACCATGTCAATGATTGGAAATCCAACACTCAGAGAAATGGATTGCGTGCAAGAACTGTCAGATGACCGACGCTGGAGGCAAAACATTGAAACACAACGTCACTTTTCTTATTTGTCTACAAGTAATCGAAATGGTTTTCCACAATTATTTTGGCATATGAATCGTATTTTTCCGCTATTCATCAATTCGCTCATGCCATCACATTGTGCTGTTGTAAAATGCACAAAAACTGCAGCGAAAAGATGAAGGAATCCGGATAGTACATTATGATTTAAAAGTAAGTACCTACTATAGCCACTCACATATAGTTTTCATTTTTGAAATTTGGTTATTTCTCTGATTTCTCATCGGAATTCCTTCTGCAATAAGAGCTAATAGAAATATACCTGAAATTTCTAGAATAATGCAAGAAGATTGGATTCATGCAATCAATGGGGAGGACTGGTCTGACATGCTGACGATCGTGTGTGTTGTAGACATTTTCAATCTATTAGCAGAATTAGCTTGTATTGCAGAAGTGGCAGAAGGCAGAGGGAATTTTAATAAGGAATGACAATATTTCATAATGATAATTATGTGAGATTACTATTTACCTGAAAAATCATATTCCCTAGTCTCTTGCTGCATTTTTTGTGCATTGTACAACAGGACAATGCGAAGGCATGCTTGAATCAATGAATAACGCAAGAAACACGATTCGTATGCCAAAATATTGTGAAAAACTATTTCAACTTCTTGATTCCTCTGTAAACAAATGAAAAAGTGAGGTTGTGTTTCAATATTTTGCCTCCAGGGTCGGTCATCGTGCAACGTTTAGTGAAATAGTCACCAGATCCATTAAATAATACCACAACAAAATTGTATCATAACTTAACTATAAGTATCATACTATAATGTAGCTCTAATATTTTATATATATATAGTATAGTTTCTGGCGCCTATTTTACTAAACGTTTGATATTTACTACCGACTATTTTTTTCAGTGAATATTGTAATCATGATCTAGTCTACTCTCGAAATTCATTCGAAATCGATCAAAATCTGTTAGATAGATAGATAGATAGATCAAAAGTTCCCCCGTTACAAAAAATATTTTCACTAAGGTGGTAGGATGACCTCTGCCCCATATTTCTGGTACGCCACTGTTTTCGGTTAGATTTTTTCGTTCATTGGGGCAAAATACTTGCATCATCCATCGCTAGCGCATATCCGTACTAATGAAATATTATGTAGGCCAATTAATGGCGGAATGTCAGACATATAAAACGTTATCGAACGATTCCAAGCTGAATTTATACAGGGTGTTTTATAATATCGAAAGGGGTTAATCTGAAAGGGTCGGTTTATTTTAGTTATACAGGATGAAGATTTGTAAATTGTAATAGCGATTTTCACTAGCGTCTAACAACTGAGTACACTGGCACTGGCTCAGTTTTTTATCACTTTTCGAAAACAAAATTTCCATTATGGTACTCAACGAGCTCTTATCTGAAATGTGGACAATCTGAAATATTCAGATTCTCAAGGCCTACTATTGTCTGTTGAAGGGTTGAAATTTTGAAAACGATTATTAAGTATAATTATTCGATTCAGGCATAACTGAAATATTTCCATAACTTTCCACCAGTGGCGTAATTATACAGGGTATAGATAATAGAATGAACATGCAACTGCAGGTCTCCAAAATGACCTCGAAGGGGTGCGAAGCCTCAACTCGACGGGCTAGTCTCGCGGGGACTGCCAAGGGAGGAACAATTGTTGATATTCCAGAAGAGCATCGTCCATGAAAATATCTATAAAATAGAGCCAGATTGCCAACTTTTCTACGGTGTTCCAGAGAAGTGAGTCAGTTTATGAGCGAGGCATCACCCACGAGACGAATTGCCCTTTTTTACAGAATCCAACAGTTTCAGGGTATATTAGGGTGCTACACTCCAAATATGGAAACAGTATTCCAGGAGACTGTGCCTTATAGATCATATAGTTCATAAGCAGCTGACTGGAAGTGAAATAGCTCCTGGCCCGAAACAGAAAACCAAATTTTTGAGATGCACTTTTAGCAATTGATCTCACGTGATTTTCCCAGGAAAGGTTATTGCTGATAGTAATACCAAGCATCGAAATGAATGTCTTCAAAGGTATGGTTACTCCTGACAAGCTTGTGTTGGCCACAGTGAGATCGGCTTTTCTAGAGAAAAGGCATGCTTGTGTTTTGTTTGCATTGAAATCTACCAAGTTATTGGATCCCCTTTCGAGAGTTGTTGCCAAGTCCATATTAATGTTGTCAACATTTCTCCCTCGTTCGTTTATGATTTGCCTGGCTGGTATTGGAGCCCTGGAAGAGAAGATACCGCCTTCTACTATCATCCGCGAAGCTGTGTACTGAACAAGACGTTGCTTCCGACAAATCGTTGATATGGAGTAGAAATAGTGCTGGTGCTTGAATTGATCTTTGCGGAACACCAGAATTTATGAAAAGAGAGTCAGATGAAACTCCGTCGACCACTACATGGAGAGACCTGTTTGAGAGAAAACTAGCTAGCAGAGTACATAGCTGGGGAGGCAAACCATAAGATGGGAGCTTGGCGAGGAGCCCGTGGTATTTGAAAGTATCATCTAGGGGTGGACGATGTTTGTCGATTACCGTGACGGTTTACTCGACTCACTCTGTATGAGATAGCCAAGAATGGCAATGATATTTCATATCGTGTCGACTAAAAGGCCTATAGCTCTTATCCTATCGGTGAGTAGTGAATAACAGTCGTATTGGTATCTACATAATAAATAGAATTGGAAAAAATGTGGGTCAGGTAATAGAGATTGGAATAATTTGTATTCTGGTTCTGACTGATCACACAAGGAATATTCCTTCAAATAATTTCAGATTGAGTGATGATGTTATATAATAATTCGAAAAAGGAAAAGGCATGACCTACCTTCTTTTGTGTGGACGTTTTGTGCATCACACCTTTTGCTCATCCTCATCAAAACTCTCAATCATCAATTTATTTTTTCAGTCGCTGCGAATTTACAAAGAAATTAATTATGAGAAGATAACAACATTATCGACAAAGCCTATTCAATTATACCTATACTAGCAACAATTCCAATTACGGTGCTATTGAATTTTTAAAACAGACTTCAGTA